ATCTATCTATCCATCTCTGTTCCGATGTACTGTATATGTGAGCGTGATAAAAAAAAAATAAAAAATTCCTTCCCAGGCAAATACAGCCGTTAAATTTAGAATGAGGAGGCTTCAGAAATATGATGATGTAATGCTTTGTCCTCAGTCAACCTCCTGGAGTGCACCAGCCTGCACTTCAGTCTTGAATGAGAAGCCATTCGTAGTGGTAAGACTGTCTTTTATCAAAACTATCACATGAACATGACAGTTAACCGATGAAACATAACATCCTAGGTATCAGTACCACTATCTGGTCAAATCTACAAACCACTGTTTGGGATTGGCTTGGTTTGATTTGATTTATTTCTGGGCTAATAGAGCATAAGCAGATAGTCACTTCATGTCAGTGGCACCTTTGTATGAGCATTTGTAAAGTGCCCGTTATGAACAAGGTGAGAAGGTCATTAAAATAAGTTTTGTATGATCCTGAATGTAAATGGGTATAAATGGACAGAGGGATGGAGAGGAGAAGGAAAGTAAGAAATGGAAGAGTGAAAGCAGAGGAGGACAAGAGGAATGTGGAGAGCTGGAGAAGAGTGTTAATCTGAGGAAAGGCAGCATAGAAAGACAAGAGTTTCCTCCCCGCCCTCACTTCCTGTCCCTGCTGTCATTCAGAACAGCTGAAGTGTATCTGAAAAAGAGTCATCCCCACCCCACTACCCTCCAACCACTACCACACATACCGACATACCGGCACCAACCAACTAATTAGCTGCTCTGGTCACAGGACAGGAAGTGTATGTGTGTGTGTGTGTGTGTGTGTGCGTGCAGGGTGGAGGGTTTTGAATGGCTTCTGTAGGTTTCTCATGTTCATCAGAGACCCCTAATTCAAAATCTCTCTCCCTCTGTCTCACGCATTCCCGCAGGCATCGTGCCCGTCTTCCATCCTCATACTGACGAGCTTATTTCTGTAGCCTAAGTGTGGCCTGGTGGGCCTCTAATAGCGTAGCCAATTAGTGCCAGAGTCCAACTTGGCTATTTCTCTCACTCACTGGTGGTCCTGCTGAGGGACAGATTGGCTCATCTGAAAAGGTACAAGTCCACAAAGAACAGTTTCACAAAGACATGTATGTATAGGCTGCATGCTACAGCAGCACACTGGAATAATCATGTGTGTATGTGTGTGTGTGTGTGTGTGATCTCGTTGCAATTCAGCATCAGAAGTGCTCAATAAAGAGCTAAATAGTACAAGCTGTTGCACACCATAATAGAGACAAGTGCTTAGAGGATGGTTTAATGGTAAAAGATTGTGCCACCACAATATTACAGTACTACCACAGTAAAATCAAACTGCTTAAAAACAGCCTACACTACAAAATAATAAAGACAGCATTATGCATGTGAGATGCAAAACCAGTAGGAGTTTATGAAGCTATAAAAATAAGGTACCAAGACTGAGCTGCTGCATCCAGTCTGGCTACTCTCTAAAGCTGTACCTTGGCACAGTGAAGCCTCAAGCTGCACGTTAAAGTCAGCACAGCAATATGCTCACAATGACAAGGTTATGGATAGATGAAAGGTTATGGATGTCTGCACCCAATTTTGTGGCAGTCCAACCAGTGGTTGTTGAGATATTTCAGTTTGGACTGACTGACCTACAGATCGATGTTACCCTTCCAAAACCAACAGCAAAAACAATATATTTAGACATAAAGTGCCCAGACCCTTTATCATTGACTTCAGTTCACAAAAAGGCATTTAAAGTCCTCCTTTTCATTGCTTTAGCATGATGGTTCAATGTATTCAAATAGCCCAATACCAAAAACATTTGCCAAAATAATAAAATGGTCCATGATACGAAGGATGACATGAAAGACACAGGGAGACAGGGCACAGAAAGACCACTTAAAGCTACACTATGTAATATTTTTCAAATTTTGTTCTAGAAATATGCTCCATACCTTGTCTTAATGTGGAGAGGTGCTGTTGAAGCCTCCTGCAACCCAGACTCGCTGAACAGCACTGGCAGCAGTGCAAAGAAATTAGCTTCTTAAAGGTTTTGAGCGGGACCTGCTCAAATCAAATGTCTGTTTATGGCAGAGTGACCACAGCTAACCTACCTGACCTAAATGCATCTTAATAAATGCAGACATTACCCTGAAAGACATAAAAAAAAACACTAAAAGCTTGGCGTGTGCCATAGACTGCATCTCTCACTAGGGGGAGCCACTAGTGACTGTATTCTTGCAAAGCTACAAGCCCTTGTGTGCAGCTATATGTAAACAGTCTGCAAACACAGTAGTGTGAGCATGGTGGGTTTTGTTCACTTGTGTGTGTGTGGGGGTGACAGAAACTCTGGATGGTGATAAAGTGACTGAAGAAAGCTTGAGACAGATCACAGATGCAAACCCACCACATTAAAATCAAATGCCCTGCAAACATTTTCACAGAAACTCACACAGATCCACTCTATTCTTTTGCATATGAATAACCCTAGAGAGTAGAGTATTCATCCACACACACACACACACACACACACACACACATACACATACATAGACATAATTGGTTACGTAGGGAGCAGAGCCAACTTGCACCTCAAGGTTGCCATGGTAACGAGAGACTGATTTTTCTAGAAGCACTTACTCACATCCCGTCTGTTATTCACTTGTTTCTTCATTCATTCCTCCTTTTAGCCTTTCGTTATACAACACTCACTCCGTCTCTCTGTCTCTCTG